AAGAACTTACTGCAAGGTGACATTTAGCAGGGTGTCTAAAAGGAGGAGGGACTGGGCGCTGTCCAGGGAAGAAGAAACATGAGCAAAGGCCCTGAGGCCAGCCTGTGCCTGGTGAACTGCAGGCATCTTGAAGCATCTTGGCAAGCATAGGTGAGCCAGGAGGGAGAAGTGGTGGGTGTGTGTTCTGAGTGAGGAATTAAGGAGACCTATCCTCCTCTTGTCCCTTCTTGATTCCTCTACCTCTGTGTATGCCTGCACAATAAAAATAAAACCTCACAGTGTCTTATGAACCTGTTCCCGTCACTCAATAACCTTAGAAACATCTTTTTTTAATGTATGTGTATGGGTGTGGACATGCATGTTCATTTGTGTGAGTACTCATGAGGGCTTGGTGTTTGTGTGCCATGGCATGCATGTGGAGGGGAGAGGTCAGGCTCTGGTGCTGGACCTTATTTTCCAGTTTGTTTGAGGCTGAGTCTGGTTCATCGCCAGGTATATCAAGCTAGGTGACCTGTGTGTGAGCTTGGAGGAAATAGCGTGACAGATGCATGCTGTGGGACCTGGCTGCACACAGGTCCTAGGGCTCCCAACTCCATCCTCTTAGTTGACCGGCAAGCTCTTTGTCCTCTAAGCTATCTGAGCTGCTGTTAGACATCTTTTGTTTTATGTGACCCATGCTGTGAATCTGCCTCTGTCGACAGTCACTGCTTTTCTTTTTGTTTGTTTGTTTGTTTTTTGTTATGCTTTTTGTTACTATTGTTTGTTTGTTTGTTTTTCAAGACAGGGTTTCTCTAGGGCCTGCCATTGAACTCAGTCTATAGACCAGGATAGAAACACAATTATTTTTTAAAAGATTTATTTATTTATTTATTCTGTATACAATGTTCTGCCTGCATGTATGTCTACACACCAGAAGAAGGCACCAGACCTCATTATAGATGGTTGTGAGCCACCATGTAGCTTCTGGGAACTGAACTCAGAACCTCTGGAAGAGCAGTCAGTACTCTTAACATCTCTGCCATCTCTCCAGCCCTCAACAGTTGTTTATTTTAGGTGGGAAAATGCATATCTATAAAAATAACTCCATGATAACAAATTGGCACCTCAACTCTTATATGTACAGCTTTAATTACTTCCTAATAAATCCATAAGACTGAAATAGATGGCTCTGAGAACATGTGTGTCAATAAAATGTTTGCCAACACATCCTGTATTTAAAAAAATATCTTCATCTGATGAATGTGTGAGAGTATTATTTCACCCCCAGTTGTCAACTCTTAGTATTGTATATGTCAAATACTCAATGCATGCATCATACACATTCCTTATTTCTAGTTATGCCAAGAATCATCATTTGCAGATTGCCATTTGTTTATACTTATGAATGGCAGCCCTGGCCTGGCAGTTTTATCATTGATTCCTTAGAACTTTTTAAAGGAGCTGTCGCTCTGTGTAAACCACTTGCTCAGCAAAGCATAAAGGCCTGGGTTTGGTCTCCAGCACCTTGGAGAAAAAGCTCTCACTACTGAGGATAGTGGTGTTTTCCCCACATGTATGTTATGCTGTTCTTCTCAATCATATTAGATGCTACTTTCCTTCATATGTGTTTTGCTTAGTGTGCAGAGAGCATCTGTGTAACTCTAACTTAATGTGATAAATATCAAGGCAACTGCCAAAGACATTCCCCTGCTCTGTTTTGTAATTCCCTAATTGTCTGAATTACCCATCTTGTGTTCACTGTCTCCAGTGGATTTTGAAATTCAGTGATTGGATTTTTCTTGTGAAACAATCTTTCCTAATTTCAGATTGTTCCCTTTTCTTGACTGTCTTTGAAAATAGGAATTAGACATTCTCTAGGATTTTCTTTCAGCTGCTGTGCTCCTGGGTTGGCCTGATCCACTGCTTCTCTGTGTCTTTCCTTCTGATGGATGCATGTCTGTGTGTCCTGCTGCCCCTGTCTCTGCTGGTAGGAGGATGGGTACAGCAGTGATGGTTGTCCTGCCCTAGTTCTCAGATCCAGATAAGGGAGCCAGGAGCCTTTTGTAAGCTTTGGTAATTCTGTTTTGTGCAGACCAGGTATCCTGTTCCCTGGGAGGGGACCATAGCTAAAGGGAGCAGACAAGCATCCCTCCTAATGGAGAAGTGTCCTCTCTACACTGGCTTTGGAGTCTCTGTTCTTTTCTTCTGGGTGTAGGTGTCTAGTCTGGGTCCAGAAAGTCATTACATACTCTTCTCACACTGCTTGTAGCAGGCCTGATCCAGGAGCTGGTCCCTCCCCCAGCCTCCCAGATGTGGGGACATGGGACCCTAACTTATACCTTGCTTATCTGATCCAGGCTTGTCAGTGCCTGGGGTTCCCAGTATCTATGAAAGCTGGTGAACTGTATTTTCTGAATTGTGAGACCAGTATGACTTTGGATATTAGTAGTCTGAGTGTAACTTATACTGACTTTTCCACTCTGTTCTTAGTACTTCGAAGAAGAAATTCTAGGGGCTATAGGCAGATGCCTAGGATGCTGTGATACTCACCCATTTTCTGGTCCCATCTGGAAAGTGGGGAGAGCTCAGGCTAGACTGTGGGAGCGGGAGCAGCTGCACCTCTTTGGACTAAACACTACCTAACAGAACAACTTAAAGGATGAAGATTAATTTTGGCTCACAGTTTCAGAAATTCCAGTCTGCAGTTGATGGGTCATATGTGCTTAAGCTGAGCATCATGGTAGCTGAGCACGAGGAGGAGGCCAGCTGTCAATACTCTAGTGTTTCAGGGTTACAAAGTGTGTGGCAGGAACTAAGGGCTGGGTAGACCCTCCAGAGATGATGCTTCTGGGGACCTACTTCCTCCAGCTGGGTTTCATGTATGAAATGTTTCACAGCTTCTGAACAGAGTACTGCAGTGTGGGACCAAGCATTCAAATTCAAAACACGAGTCTGTGAGGAGCATTTCATATTCAAACCACAACTCTGCCCCCACCCCCTGTGTGTGTGTGTGTGTGTGTGTGTGTGTGTGTGTGTGTGCTGTTTGCCTATGAGTGCACATGTGGAAGCCCAGAGGCTGATGTATCTTTCTCAATCACTGCTCTCCACCTTATAGTTTGAGATAGGGTCTCTCATTGGGCCTGGAACTCATCAATTGGCTGAGAGTCCTTGAGATCCTCCTGTTTCTACCTCCCAGTGCTAGGATTAGAGGGGCCCAGCTCTGTTCTTTTGTGCTGAGGATCTGAATTCAAGTTTTCAACAAGAACTTCACCCACTGGGCTATCTACCTAGCTCCACCTTTCTTTTTAACAGTCACCTTTTACTTTAAAAAAGTGACAGTGGATTTATTTTAAAGGACAGGATAGAGCCAATCTTTCTCCTCTTTCATCTACCTGCCTGTTTTTATTCCTGTATCAGCAGTTGAATCTAGTGCTTTGTAGATGTTAACTTTCACCCTCAACCCAGACAACGGACTTTAAATGAGTACTTATTATTTTTTTAAATTCAGTGTGTGTGTGTGTGTGTGTGTGTGTGTGTGTGACAGGGTTTTTCTGTGTAGCCCTGGCTGAACTGGAACTAACTCTGTAGGTCAGGCTGGCTTTGAATTCACAAAGATCATCTTGCCTCTGCCTTCCGAGGGCTGGGATTAAAGTCATGTGCCACCAACGCCCAGTTAAAATCCAATTATTTTAATGGAAAACATTAAGTTAAAATAGTATGCAGATTTAGCAGAACCCATAAAGAGGCTCATGGAAGGCAAAGCTAGCTGCACCCGGTCCTGTAGTCTCTCATGATCTCATCACCTTGTAGAAGCTCATGGGACTCGTGTACAGCAAACCTCCTTAAGTTCCAGCAGATGCTTATGCAAGTTCTTAGTTTTGGATCCTTTAGAGATTTGGGGGAGAGAGCTGAGGAGCCAGTGTGAGGCTTAGAGGCTCCTATTACTCCCTCTGATTCATCTATCCCTCCAAATGGACACTGCTCAAGGGGATGTGTGAATTGAGAAAAATTTGGAGATTAAAATTCTCCAAATGTAAAATTTGTACATACATTATATATGCTGATTTGGGGGAAGAACTGTTGGGGAGGGGTGTAGGGGCATCCCCTTCATCTTTGAGTGTTCTCTTTCCTTCCTCATTGTTTTTTTCTTTATTGTCTGTGGTCAATACCCTAATGGTTAAAAAAAGTAAACAAAAGCTCCCATGTATATTGTCAGACCACTGAAACCATTGATGATGACAAAAGTGATACTTTTATGGACTGGTGCTGTGTTTATTTCACATGCTGTTTCAGTTCTGTGCAGAAGGGACTTCTATTCCAATATGTAGATGCAAAATGCAAAGCTCAGGCAGACTTTGGAGCTAAAGTCATCCAAAGGAGTAAGGAGGTGGAACTGAAGCAAGGCACTGTGCAAGCCAGGGCTTGCATCCATACCTTTAGAGACACTGTTCCTTCAGAGGCCAAATACAGAGGTTTCCCACCCCCAAGTGGGCAAACCTCACAGGGGCAAACAGCACTGTGAGGTCTGTGGTCCTGTTGGAAGGGAGCAGACAGGGGAGGGGTGGGAAAGAGAGCACACCCTGGGAGACCTGGGAGCATGACTCAGCAGACAGCAGCACTCTGTGAGTGATTAGCTAGCAGAGCTGTGTGCACCTGTTCAGGTGCTTGTCTGCCACAGCCAACACATGGAGGTCCTTGCCTTGCCTTCCAGCTTGTTTGAGGCAGGGTTGTTGCTGCATGCACAGGCTAGCTGACTGTTGAGATGTTTCTGTGATGCTCCTGCTTCAGCCTCCTTCTGGCTCTAGCAGTCCTAAGCTTACAGACATGTCACCTTGTCCAGCTTTATATGCATTTTGGGGATTTGAACTCAGGTCCTCACACTTGCCTGGCAAGCACTTTACCCTACTGAGCTGTCTCCCAAGGCCCACCACAGTTTTTGTCTGTTTTAGGCAGGCCTTCTGCTCAGCTTGATACTCTTACACTCAGTCACAGATTTATCACAACCACGTGTCTCCCATTAGGTTCAAGTTACTGAGCCAGGAAGAGGGCGAATACTTCAATGTGCCTGTGCCACCAGAAGGAAGCGAGGGCAATGAAGAGCTGCGGCAGAAGTTTGAGGTGAGGTTTTGTTCTTTCACCATTTCTATGGGAACCTGATACATCGCATCATTGCTATCTTTATAACCTGTCTGTGGTGTGGTATAGAGAGGCACCTTTCATGACTCGGAGCCTTTGCAATACTGTTCCAGCTCCTAGAAAACTCCTACTTATACTTCAAGACCCTTCCCTTGTGAAATCTTCCCTGGACTGGTTCAGACTAAGACATTTCTTCCAAAGTGCTCATTCCATGCCCAGGTCTTTGTGATACTGATCTGGACTGAAATGGAAATAATGGGAGTGGAGAAGTGGACAGAGTAGAGATATATTGTTAGAACTCTGAATTTGGGTTTGTCAGCAGGTGGGTCTGTGCTGTTTTCAAGTAGACTGGCTGCACGGGTGACTCTAGGAAAGCTGGTGTGGGCAATCATCACACACAATCGTTTTGTCCAGCCCGTGGTGATTGGGTCTGACCTTGGACTCTACTGATGTTTGTTCCGGATGCAGATAGGCTCCTTATCTGTCTTTAGGACCAGGGACTCCTCCTGTCAGCTACTGTGAGGTGAGATGTACAGGCACCTGCCAGTTTTGCACAGGGAGAGGTTTGGGGGAAGGTGGGTGCCACTATATGTGGTATATGTGCATCACATGCTTTGAAAAGTATTTTCATGTGGGAAACTTGATGCTTTGATCACACAATTTAATGCGTGGAGTTTGGTGGTCAGTCGTCAGGTCTCCGTAAGCCGTCATCTACTAGCTCTGGAAGAAGGTCAGTGAGAGCAGAGTAGGGGAAGGGGTGAGTGCCAGGTGAGGCTGGGAAGTTGGTGAGGTCAGAGATCTGGCTACAGTGGCTTTAAGAAAGGTTTTGGCATGAACTCCAAGAAGTACATGTTAGCATGTTAGCTTCCCATTCAACGGTACTTGAGTAGCCATGGGGCCTTGTCTTGAGCTTGGGTCCTCCACACAGTCTGCACAACAGCAATGCCTTAGATGCCATGGGATCTCCCTGGAAGTAAGTGGATTGGCCTTGGGCTTGCCAATCTTCATCCCTCCACTGTCATAGTTTGAATCTGAAGTGTACCCACAGGCTTGTATGGCTTGAATGCTTAGTCCCAGGTGGTAGCTCTATTGTGGAAAGTTCTAGAAACTTCAGCTAGAGGAACTAGGCACTGTAGTAAGTCCTTGTAGGTGTCTTGTCCCCAGCTAGGTCCTTCCTCTCTTGCTTTCTGCTTCCTGTCCACCATGATGTAAACAGATGTCCGGGCCACACAATCCCATCCACCATTATGATGTCCTGCCCAAGTGCACAGGGCCAAGAGACAGCAGGCAGATCTCTCTGAAACTAGGAGCCAAATACATTTTTCCTCCTTTAAGTCATATCTATCAGGTGTTTGTCTCGGTGACAAAGTGACTAACATATACAGTGACCTTGATCACTGAAGGTCATTTTCTGGGTGGCTGTGCAAGTCTGAATAACTCGATAAAAAAAACCTTCCCACCACAGAGTTGTGAATTGGGTGTTTTCAGAAAAGACCTGGAAGGCAAGACTTCCAGAGAAATCTTTCTGGGCTGGCAGTATCTGTTGGCTGAGGCTGTTATGATTATGGTTGAAAAAAACAAAAAGCAAGGCCGGTATTCTCTTGTAGAAAATGAAGTCTCAGCTTTGCAAAATAATTCCTTCTGTCCTGGGGCGGCAGGGGTGACATTTCCAAACACCAAAGAAAACATTTTCTATGCGGATAGAGCATTTGTCTGAGACAGTAATTGGCTTGAAGTACAGGGTTGTTTTATCTGCATGCGACAAAATACGTCCCTTTATCCCTAGCAGGAGCCTGCAAATACTTGTTTATGCCTGAGTTATAATCGCGCCATACCATAGTTGTTGATTAAAAAAAAAGCCTTCCAACAGACTGAAATCGCTCTCAGACACACCGAGGGATTTTACTTGACCTTGAACGTGAGAAATGTAATCCCCGCACAATAAGCAATTAGTACCCAGAATGAGTCAGGAATTACCTAAAAGCTTCTTATCTGGCATGACTGGAGCTGCCAGAATCGGGGTGATAGTGTTCTGTGGTGGGGTGTACTGGATGCAATGAGCAGACATTCTAAAATGTCCTCTGGAGGATAACTTAGAATGCACATTACAGCGCAGTGGTCTCCAAATGGCCAATGTGGTATTGTTTAGGGGTCAAAGGCAAGGGGTCTGTGCATGCTCAGTAGAGGAGGACTTCTGAGGATGACCATCAGTCAGATCAAGCTGTTGCTGGTCCAAGAAGTTAAAGTTTAATAACCCATGTCTTCCAAGGAAGAAAACTCTGGGAGTTTCCTTGCTGAGTGTCCCTGTCCAAGGACAGGGCCTTACCCACAGCCCTCTTTCCTCACTAGTGGAGGCACCTACTCCTAATTAGATAAACAGGGAGGGGGACAAAGTGGCAGGTCTTTGTAGATAGCAGCCCAGAGGTGGGGTGCATACCTGAGAGTCTGCCCAAGCTGCCTAGCTTAAATCCTACTTACAGCAGGGAAGTTACTCTGAATGAGCTTTCAACTCATCATCTGTAAGATGGGGATTCTGACACTTTTAACTACCTAAGATTACATGAGGATTGGATGACATCATGCCTCCAGAATCATCCAGTACAGCATAAGCATCCAGGTGTTGAATGCTCATAATGTCATTGCCAGATCCTCCCTGGAAATCAAGTTTGGTAATGCTCCTGGGGTGGGGGAGCCTCTCCAGGCACCCCTTGCTTTCCAGCCTTCTGGGGTAGCTGGTAGTGCATTTGGAGGCTCCTCAGAGTGGTAGGGTAAGGAGGGGCCTGAAGTCAGGACAGATGTTGATCATCTGAGGTAGAGCCTGGAGTCTTTGTTGTTCCCTAGGACATACTGCACAGTGACACAGCTCCACTCGGCAGGGCTGCCTTCTGCTTTGTCTCTGTGCAGACTTCTCAGGCTCAAAATTGCAGACATGAAAGGCAGCTGCCGGTGGATGATTGTTTCTGCTGTGGCTTTCATTTTCTGTGTCACTCCCTTTGATGCAGGACCTGTGAGGCACCTGCAACTCTGGGATCTGTAGAACATTGCATGACAAGTTCTTATCCTCAGAAGGCTCATGGGATCAGGGGGACAGCCCCAAATGCTTTCAGGAAGCAGGCACATAATAGGGAGGAAGCCCAGTCTACCCAGAGTGGCAAGGCCTACTTCTTTAGAGGAGGCCGGGAGTCTGGTTTTGTAGTTTTGCTTTGTTTTTGGTGTGAGGGGAGGACACAGGACATCGTGCATGCCAGGAAAGTGCTCTACTACTGAGCCACATCCCCAGATTCTAGATTTTTATAAGACCCCTCCTGGTTATTAGCAGTTGGCAACTGATTTCCAGGTTAAAGAGACAAAAATGTTGGGCAGAATAGACTTCTTATTTAGATCTAGATGTTGAACTAATAAACTGCTGATGCAATAAAGTACTGAAGCTAGGTAATTTAGAAGAAAAGGTTTTCCTACACAAATATACAATTGCTTGTGCATACACACACACACACACACACACACACACACACACACACACACACACCATTTTGTAGGCTGAAAACCTGTGTGGTCTCTGGTGAGAAGCACCTTGGCTGAGTCCCAGCTTGGGGGAGAAACAGAAAGGGAAGTGGATGCCTGTGAAGGGGCTCAGCACATTGTGGCTTTGCTGTCTAAAGACTGCTCTGGAGAGAAATAACCTCATGAAATCAGCATCTCTCCTTCCCGAGGGCAGCATCCCAGTCCCCCACTCACTTTCCACAAGGTCCCACCTCTGAGGTTGCATCATGTCATGTCGTGGACCAAGCCTCCAGCATGAGAGTCTCATCTAAACCACAGCACACAAATACAGGACTTTAAGGTTTTTTTAAGTGGTTATTTTGGGGGGCTGGAGAGATAGCTCAGTGGTTAAGAGCACTGGCTGCTCTTCTAGAGGACAGGGTTCAAATTCCAGCACCTGCATGTCATTCACAACTGTCTGTAACTCCTGTTCCAAGGAATCTGATGCCCTCTTCTGGTCTCCACAGGCACTGCATGCACATAGTGCACAGAGAAACATGCAGACAAAACACCCATGCACATATAAGTAAAATGGAAAAAAAAAAAAAAAAGAGCTTAATTCCAGTCCATTGAAGCAAATCCAAGTGAAAAAAACTGGAAGGCATGAGCTCTCCCTCTTCACTTAAAAAGGAATTGTGCTCTAGAACCTCCATGTGGATGGACATGCACAGCCAATAGCTGGGCTGGGAAGTAGAATGAGAACCAAGTGTGGGAGTGCAATGCATCCCAGCTCAGCTACAAAGGAAATAGGAGACACAATGATGAAGCAGTGAGACCGGGAGGGAGGCTTGGATCGGTCAGGAAAAAACCAGGAGCCAGGCTGGCATGAGGATATGGTCCAAGAAAGACAGGCAGCTGTTGTCGGGGGCACCTCTTTTAGGTGAAGTCTCCACCCAGATGACATGTTCTCGTGCTTCAAATACCTCCTCCTCCTGGAACCCCATACCTCTGTCCCTCAAATGTCTCTGCTTTGCCCTTAACCCATAGACCTTGAGTGTTGGGTGCTTTAGGCTTAAACATCAACATGTCCTACTATAAAACTAGTTAGAGCACTGGGACAATCAACAGAAGAATGATCAATACCTACAACAAATTCTCAGCAACTCAGAGAGGACTTTCTGGTTCACACAACTGAGTGGAGGGGTTTCCAGAATGTTCTCATGAGAGAAGGCAGGAAAGCATGAAAGGGTCTATGTGCTTTGATTCTATTTGGGTGGAATTCAAGAATAGGCAAAGCTGACCTAGGAGAATAAAAACCAGAGCAGAGATGGTCTTCGTTGTTTGTGAGGGGAGAGTAGCTGCAAACCTCCCTGGGGAGTGGAGTTGGATTTGTTCTGTATTTTGATTAGGGTCTGGTTATGTATATAATTGTCAAAATTCATGAATTATGCACTGAAGATCTGTGCATTTTACAGCTTACATCTCAATTATTTGTGTATTTTATTTGTGTAGGCATGCACATGTGTGTGCAATTGTGTCTATGTGCACATGGAAGCCAGAGAACAACCTTGGGTGTCCTCCTCAAGCACCATCCACCTTTATTTCGGGACAAGGTCTCTCACTGGGCTGGAACTCACTGAGTAGACTAAGTTGCTGGCCAGTGAGTCCCAGGGACCCATCCTTCTGTCTCCACCTCCCCAGCATTGGCATTACCAGCACGTACCACCATGCCCTCTTTAATGTGGATTCTGAGGTGGGAGCTCAGGTCTCTGTGTTTACAAAGTAAACACTTTACCCACCGAGCTATCTCCCTTGGTCCCAACTTCGATTTTTTAAAAACACTAATTAAGAAGATGAGAAGCGATGGGAGCTTTGCAGTCTTGCTCACTGAATGTCGGCTTAGGCTAAAGCTGACATATTTCTTGAAATGCAGCATGAAGGGTGCAGTCTCTGCATGATGGGCATTATTTGAGGATCGGTGTATCTTTTGCTCCCTGATTACCCTGAGCATTTACAGCAGAGCCTGGTATATAGCAGACATTCAGTGGAAGCTCCTTGATTGGATGAGTCATCTTCATTGGCATACACAACCCCAGGAAGGGCCTGGGGAGATGGCTCAGTTTGTAAAGCATTTGTGCAACCCTAAGGACCTGGTTTGAATCCCCACAAACTCATGTAAAACCAGGTGTGGTTATCACATGAATTTGTAATCCCAGTACTCCGGTGGAGAGATGGGAGGCAGAGATGGGAGAATGGCTGGAAACTAACTTAAGAGCCAGCCAGCCTGGTGCACACAGTGGCAAATGATAAGACAGGTCCTGCCTCAAACAAAGTAGAAGGTGAGGGCTGATGCCTGAGATTGTTCTCTGACCTCTGCTTGTGTACTGTGCCATGCACATACTCAAACCCCCACTTATACTTACAAATATGTATACCCCCTCTCTATCATCTGTCTGTCTGTCTGCCTGTCTGTCTGTCTGTCTGTCTGTCTGTCTGTCTCTCTCTCTCTCTCTCACACACACACACACCCACACACACACACACACAGAGAGAGAGAGAGAGAGAGAGAGAGAGAGAGAGAGAGAGAGAGAGAGCACTCCAGGAAGCATTTTATTGCCTGTTTGTCATCAAAAGACATGACACAAGGAAACAATAATAGTGGCACCATTCACTGGGATCTGCTGTATACCAGGACTCTGCAAAGGATGCATGCTTGGCATTGTCAATGTCAGCTTTCATGGGGTCTGAGGTATAGAAAGTTCATTTGCCAAGTGCACTCAGTTGCCTGTTCTCTCCACATACTCATCCAGACACCCGAGAATCAGTGACAACCACACTGGTAAAGCATGTGTCCTCTGGGAGCTTACATTCTGGTGTCAGTGTAAACAATAAACATGAAACAAGTATGTGTGAAGAAAGTAAAGTCAATGAGGACACAGAAATTACCAACAGCTATGTATGTAAAGCAACTGGGAAGGGCTCTCTTACATAGGCCCAGCAGCTTTGGGGAAAGAGTACTTACTCTCTCCACAAATGCAAGTTTAAGCATTTTAAGTAGTGGTTGACTCACTGGTATGAGAAGCTTCGTGTTTGCTACTGTGAAGCCTGGCAGGAAGGGAACCAATGTGGGTCCTCTGGGTGACTGACAGATGCTAACAGGCGATACTCATCAACTAGGAAAGAAGTAGATGAGTTCCAGGGCCAGAAAGGAGACACGACACCTCCCAGAAAAGGATGCGATTGGTGGGATAAAGAGAGATAAACGGGCCCAGGCTGGCCTTAAGGTTGGATATTTGCAGAGCAATGTGGTGTCTGGATGTTGGAACCACAGCAACTCTGAGCCAGTGTGCCTTCCTACCAGAGTGTTCCGAGCCCTCATCCTGTATTCTGTCTGTTTCTTCCTATAGAGAGCCAAGATCGGCCAGGGTACCAAAACTCCAGAAGAAAAGACAGCCAACACCATCTCCAAATTTGACAACAATGGCAACAGGGACCGGATGAAACTGACTGATTTTAACTTCCTGATGGTGCTGGGGAAAGGCAGCTTTGGCAAGGTACAGAATGACTTGGTGGCTGCATCCACTTTGGATGGAGCAGCTGTCCCTATGGTGAGAAAAGAGGTGAATGTAAATAAATCCAGATTGCAGTCTGTACTGAACATAATGAAGAAAATGAATAGGGGCTTATGTCACCTTTAAACCGAGAGGGGACACACTCACATGATCTGAGGAGGAGGCCTGAAGAATGGGAATAAACCAGGCATGCATTCAGAACAAGGGAAGAAGGGCTGAGGACATAGCTCAGTTATCAGAGGGCTTGCCTAGCAGGCATGAAGTCCTGATTTTGGTCCCTAGCATCACATAAACCAGACATAATGGCACATACCTTTAACTTCAGAATTTGGGGCTTGGGAGGTGGTGGTAGAAGGATCCTCCTCAGCTGCACAGTGAGTTCAAGGACAACCTGGGGTGCATGAGACCCAGTCTCTCAAAGTAAGCCACAGCAAGGAAAGGCTGTTCCAGCAGAGGGAACAGCAGTGCCAGCATCCTGAGGTGGGGAAGAGCTTGGTGCATTCTAGATGCCATCTGGAGGCACTGGGCCCTCAGTGACATGGGCAAAGGACATTCTAGGTACCATCCAGAGGCACTAGGTCCACAGTGACATGAGCAGGGGACATGAGGTGGCAGAGGGAAGAAGTGGTCTGGTCCTGCTGACGCAGATGAGCTGGAAAGATATGTCTGGATTTTATTCACAGTGCAGTGGGGAGCCATTGAAAGTTTTTAAGCAGGGAAGTGACACGATCAGGTTTGCTTTTGGAAAAGATCACGGTGGCAGCTGAGAATGGGAACAGTTCCTTTTGAGCAGCAGCACAGTTGAAGGATGACCCTGGGACTCATAGAGCAATCCTGGATGTTTTTATAGATACCACGAGACGCTGTTTTACCAGAGTTGAGATTGTGTTATAAGTATTCCTGACTTGTTTAGTGTTGTTTGGAGTCTTTGAATCCCTTAGTGTGCCACAAAGATGTCTGGTATAAATCTCATCCCATGAACTCAGGTGTGCAAAAAATATAAATTCCTTTTTCTTCTCTGAAACTTAAGCCTGAAATCTGAGTTATCCTTGAATCCCCCCGTTGTTCTCCATCTTTGTCCTTATACCACCCATGCCCTTCCATGCTACATACAATCCACTAGTCAATCCTGTTGGGTCAGTCATAGCTTACTCAGCATCTACTAACTCCACTCCATCTTCCAACACGGAAGCTAAACCACCGAGAAGCTCCTACCAGGTGTCCCTCATCACCTCAGCACCGGTAATCAATGTACTCTTCACTTAGCAGCTGTAGTGATTTTTTACAAGCTTACCTAAGGTTAGTCTTCTCTCCTGCCACAATTCAGATGCATTCTCCATTCCACTCTCTTTCTCAGCTTACACTACCCTTACAATCTGGTCCTTACGTCTTTGCTTTTCCTACTCCTTGTCACCCAGCATGTTCTAGATACCATGGTGGTTGTGGGGTGCCCGGATTATTAAGCCAATTTCCTTCTTCCTGTGGAGCTTTGTTGGCTCAAGACCCTTGGGTCTTTGCATGGCTGGCTCTTCTAATTCACACCTGTACTTGAACACCACTTCTAGAAGGTCTTCCCTGTCCACCACCTTAAAGTAGGTAATCATTCATTCTCTTGTTTGACAGAGGGTCTTGCTTCTGTCCAGGTTGACCTCCAAACCATAATCTTTCTGCCTCAGCCCTCCCTCCTAGTGTTGGGTTTGTAAGCATGTGCTCAGCCATTCTCCATTTTCTCCTTTCACGGAAACCATTAATGGATGACACTCCTATTTACATATTGCTCTGTCCCTCTTTCTTCTCTCAGATCTAAGTGGCCCAAGAGGAAGACTTCCCTATTACAGTCAACACTGGATTTCAAAATTATGGACACAATTCATTCAATATCTAGGTTTAATGCTTGTATTTTCTCTTGCCTATGGCCAGGTTTTCGTTGAGATCCGATAAAGAGTATGAAATGCTGTCTTAGAGTTTGAAGAATCCCAGAATAGAATGAGAATGGAAAGAAAAGACAGACACCCAAGGGGATGGCCAAGCAGCACTGAGATTCACAAGGTTACACAGTAGGCAGTTGGTTGCGGTCCATACCACTTGTATGAGTTTTCCAAACAGTGATGAGCAGTTTGGGTGTGGGGTGGAGAAACAGATTGAGAATAAAACTAGGGCTGGCTTAGTGAAACCAGTGAACTAGATTACAGTAACACAGCCTGCTGCAATCCACAGAGGCTGGCATGTAGCAGGTGGCTGGTAAAAATGTATTAAGCGAATGAGTGAAAATAGTGCCTAGACAGAGTTAGGAAAGAAAGCTAACACGAAGGGAGGTGCCACTTGGGAAAGAAGGACTCTATAGAAGCCTAGAGTTGAGTATTGGGGGGGGGTCAGGGTGTTTAAAATATAGGAAGAATGGATTCCAAAGTGATGCAGTTTCCCCAGTGATGAAGAAGAAAGCAGCCCAAAGGAAGAGGAAGTTCTTACAGGCTGAGTCAAATAGGGAGTCTTGTTTTATGTCATTTCTAAGGTTTGACCTATGACCTATGTAATCTGGGCTGGCCTTGAACCTTCATTCCTTCTGCCTTATCCACTCAGGTGCTGAGGTCATAGAGGAGCAACACTGTGACTGGTCTCATGTGGGAGTTTTAAAAATTTAAGTTGGGTGGAGTGCTATACACAAATAGCAATGAAAGAAGCTGAGGCAGGAGGATTGCATGAGTTCAGGAGTCAGGCCAGATGGGCAGCGTAGTCAGACCTCTGACTCATAGAAAATGAAATTAAATCACACACGCATGCACGTGTGCACGTGCATACACACACACACACACACACACACACACACACACACACACACACCCCTTAGAGAGATTAATTTCCATACCACCATAATCTACCCATGTAAACAATACAATCCAGTGGTTTCTTTCTTTTTTTAAAAAAAAGATTTTATTTATTTATTATGTATACAACATTTTGCTTCCATGTATATCTGCACACCAGAAGAGGGCACCAGATCTCATAACGGATGGGTGTGGGCCACCATGTGGGTGCTGGGAATTGAACTCAGGTCCTCTGGAAGAGCAGTCAGTGCTCTTAACCTCTGAGCCATCTCTCCAGCCCAATCCAGTGGTTTCTAATTTGTCACAACAATCAGCACAGTTTCAACATTGTCACCACCCAAGAAACTCCATAATTACTCACAGTCCTTCCTCCTTTCTTTCCCCTCCAATTTTATTTTAAGCCAGCCTGGTATTTATATAGTTCACAATTAAAATTATATTAAAAGTATAAACATTGGGAAGTCTTGCTTCCACTCAAGTTTGTCCACTTCTGTGGCCCCTTGCTGACTCGGCCTCCCTATGTGAACTTTCCTTAATTGAATTTGCTGCTTTCTGGTCTCCCTAGGCTCATTTACTATTCTTATTTTTGTCCTTGTTAACTCAAAAGTCAGTGTACCATGCACATGCTTTTGATCACTTAACAGTAGAGTCAGGTTGCTGATAGAAAATGGAAATTCCATGGAGGCTTCTGGAAAGAATTGAGGTTGGGGAGGGAAATGGGGGGGGTAGTGGGAGAATGGATCGTTAGGGAACAGTGAGCAAATAAGAGAGAATAGATCATATGTTTCCATGGAAACTGTTATAATAATTGAGAGTTCTCTTGCAGACTGGAGATGTAGTATTAAATAAACCACAGACAGAATAACAGCCTATCATGAAAGCAAAACAGAATCACAAGCACCTCTGTGATCATTTAAAGCAGAGTAATCCTTTGCCACTCTCATGGTGCCAAGTGTGGTTTGGAATTAATGCACTTTTGTATTCGAATGCCGACTTTGAACATTTTGCGCAATCTGGCTGGGCGCATAGATCAGTCCCCTTAAACAGAAGAACACAGCCACGAGTCTGCTCTTCCCCTTCGGAAAATGAAAAGAACCAGCCCTGGGGCTTTGCACCTCCCTCCCCCAAGCCCACAGTATCAGATCTGACCCAAAAAAACACACTCTCGATAAGCACTGTGATCATTTGCAGAGCAACCAATGGTGACACAAGCATTTTGTTAAGAACTGTGAAAATGACACAAGGGCGAAAGCAAGTGTGAGGCCATTGCGTTCCAAATGTGTTGCCCAGTCCTGGAAACTTGCAAGAGAAAAGCCAGTTGAAGAGTTAACTCATGGTTCCCGGGAAGGTTGTCTTACCTGAGCAGGGCTGGTTGGCATATTGGATTTTCTTAGAGATGGAGGAATCTAGAAGTTCCATGTATGTGCTGGGCATGTATGAAGTTGCCCTTGGTCTCCACACATACACCATCACATGTGCATACCCTCACTCACACATATGAATACATAAATACATACAAACACGCACATACCACATAAACATTTAAAAAGAAGCTCAAGCATAATGTCACAAAGATCTCTGTAAAGTGATAGTTATTTCAACATAATTGTTAATAGAAAAAATGGAAATAGCTTAAAGATCCATTCATTGAAGTGAAGTTTAAGTAATAGTGGTTTATCCAAGAAACATTTAAATGAAGTATCTTTCTCTGGCTCACTTTCTTTCACATTTATTCATTTTTAAACAGAAATGGAAAGAATTATGTAGTGAGCATCCACAACACCAATTACTAGATTCTGCAATTAGCAATTGACTATCTTTGCTTTATCACATATCTGTCTATCCATCTGACCGACCTTTGTCAACACACTCTCTGTGCATTTCAGAGTCAGTGAGAGACCTCAGTGCATCCTAATCTAAACTCTTCAGCATGCTGTCCATTTAACCAGGACACAATCATCTAAGGTCAAATTTACATTCAACAAAATGCATGTTTCCTAAGAGTATGCTTCTGTGCATTTTGAAATACTGTGTGCATTAAAACACCATGGGGCTATAAACACTAATCAAGAAAAATCAAAGGAGCAGATCGAGTGCCACTGTGGTATACTGTAGGAGCCTACAGGAGAATGAGTCTAGATTAAGTCACTGGAGGCC